TGCTGTTTAAATAAGTGGGTCATAGTGATCAAGTAGTCCACTTTGTGTTTAGTTTGGGTCTTTTCCTGCATGTTTGGAACCTGAAAAATATACTTTGTACAGTTTCACAGGCTCTGTCAGTAGTTTACTGCTCCTCTGTGTCTCTATTATATGCGGTGTGCAATGCCAACCAAATCAAGCAGAACTGAGCGCACCCACCATTTCCTCTGATTCTCCCTACATTGCCCTAACTTTACAAATTATGTTGTTTTTACCCAGTCAGTGTTTACAGATGACAGTCTGAGTATGCGTGTTAGCAGAAAAGAGAGGGGAAGAGATTGAGCCATGTGTGGATGAGCAGAATTATAAAATAGAGGCATGCAGCTATAAAGAAATATTTGACTTGTTTGAAAGAGAGCGAGACAGAAATAACTTCCATAACCGTTGTTCTCCTATGAAGAATTTCCAAAATTCTCAACAAGGTTTTCATTTGGATTGTTGTATTGTCCATGTTGGTCGTTGCACACACTCAGAGACTACCGTCCAAAGCTAGAAGGTGAAAATGTGTGTGTGAGTGTTGTCAAATAGTTGAGGGCCATTACTGCGGCCACATCGTGGATTATGATGGTGGATCGCGAATCAGAGATCGTGATCATAATGGCTGATAAGAACAGATGATGTCACAGCTTGTTAAACCCCTATGAGACAAATTGTGATTTGTGAATATGGGTTATACAAATACAATTTGATTGATTGAAAATGGAGAGACTTGAGGCAATGGCTGTGAGAGAGTCTTCAATCTAGGTGAAAAGGTAGTGGTACTGGTGCCATTCATTGATAGCAAGTTGCTGAATAAACAGCACAGACCCTACAAAGTCACCAAATGAGTGAGTAAGGTAACATATGAAATGTTTATACTATACAAATGAAAAAAGTATTAGACTTTTCACATTAATCTGCTTATAGAGTTTCTCCAGAGCCTGTGCCAGCAGGTGTTGGCATGATTTGTGCAGAAAGACACAAATGAGAAGTTCCACAACACCTACAGCTGGGCCCCCTACAGTGGATATGTCAAATCTTATATCTAGCAGGGGTAGGTCAAACCCCTATTTAACACAGTGTTCTTGAGAGAGACACCAGTTTTCACCTCCCTGGTTCAACAAAAAATGTGTGGGACAAACTTAGTGCCAGTCCGGCTAACTGGGTGTTCAGTCGTTGTTGCCGTTTTTGTGAACTTATTATTGTTGTGATCACTAGTAAAGGTATGTAAGTATGATCACAAAAATATACTCAATGCAGAAGAAATGCCCCCTGCAGCTACTGTCACGAGATGTGCTTTGAATTTTTTTTTCTAACAAATATAACATTTTATTTGAAACAAGGGGTTAATTTTTAGGGGTGCAAATAGCAGCCAAAACAAAACGACATGAGGAGTCGCACGTCATCACATACCTGCAGCTCCTGTTATCAGAATAAAATTGTACAAATAAACCAAAAGATCAATACAGTGTTTTTGCAAGCACCACTAGGCAATGCTTTGCAGACATACTATTATTAATGTGTAACTATTGCAAAGTCATGGACAAATTATACCGATATGGAAATCAGTGTGTCATTGATTTCAAATTCAGAAAATCACAAATAAAAGCAGAATATTTTCACATTTTATAAACAGGAACCAGCGAATTTGTTGCTTTTTTATGTGTCTATCCACTTATCATTTTATTGATGAATCTGTTTTATTTTTTGACCAGAAATTCATTGTAGTGCTGTAACAACTTTGGCAGCAGTTGGACCAGAGCTGGCCCCACCAAAGGACTTGATCCCGATCACTTTGAACACCAATTATACATTAACCTGGAACTGGGACCAGAGTCACGCAGAGAGTCATGCTGTCACCTTTACCACACAATATGTCGGGTGAGTCTTACTCACACATACACACTGTACATCAAATATAAAGGAGAGAAACCAGCAATTCTCAGGCCAAGGAACAAGTTTGTTGTGACTAGCTTGATCCCAAATAATGTTGGCTGGTAATGCCAGGAAATGTATGAAAGTATGGTAGAGATAATGGTGTAACTGTACCCAGTGTTGGTACAGTCTGAATGTGTGATAAAGTTCGGCTTAATAGTTTATCACATTACATGCAACATGAATGTCAGTAGTTTAACTGTGATAAGACACAGCACTGCATGACAACATTGGTAAAGAACAGTATCACATAACCTAAGTTAATGTTTCTTTGTAGAAATGTTTTTGTAAAGCAGTTGGACAGACTTAACATTCCTAATTTGGAAAAGACTTTCAAAACCACTAGATAGTATTTTCAATTTTGCTTTAAGTCAAGATTTCCTTCAGCATTTTTTAGCCTCCAGTAGCTGCAACAACAATGTG